GAAAAGAAGGATTGGGGGGGGGACATGATAGCAGTATTCCAGTATTTGAGGAGCTGCCATAAAAAAGACGGAGTGAACTTTATTTTCCAAAGCACCAGAAGGCAGGACAAGAAGCAACAAATAAGAGCCTTGGTAGTACAGGGGTTTAAGGCACCCTGTTATTAAGCTGGTTATTAAGACCAGCTGCCTGCAATTACTGCAGGGTTCGAATCTCGCCAAGGCTCAAGGTTGACTCAGACTTCCATCCTTTCTAAGGTAGGTAAATTGAGGACCCAGTTGTGGGGGCAATAAGCTGACTTTGTATAAATATACAAAAGGATGAAGGCTATTGCTGAGCACATTGTAAGCCGCCCTGAGTCTTCGGAGAAGGGCGGCATATAAATCAAATTTAAAAAAAAAAATTGAAACTAATCAAGGAGAGAAGCAACCTGGAATTAAGGAGCAATTTCCTGACAGTGAGGACAATTAACCAGTGGAACAGCTTGCCTTCAGAAGTTGTGGGTTCTCCATCCTTGTGAGGTCTTTAAGAAGAGACTGGGCAGCTACTTGTCTGGGATAGTATCGGGTTTCCTGCTTGTGCAGGGGGTTAGGTTAGAAGACCTCCAAGGACCCTTCCAGGTCTATTCTGATTGAAGTGATAAAATGACTAATGTCACTCTGGAGAATTTCACAGAAATTCTCTTCGCTGCAGGATTCATGACTTCATCTACAAAAATACTGTAGTTTGTGGAGCATGGACAAATCAGGCATACACACAGAGCGACACGCACAAACACACATCATCTGGAGACTAAACCGTATGAAGAACAGCTTCAGGTTTGGGGTCTGGCCAGTCTAAAGAAAAGAAGAATTAGGGGTGACATGATAGCAGTATTTCTGTATTTGAGAGGCTGCGACAAAGAAGAAGGGGGTCAAATTATTCTCCAAAGCACCTGAAGGCAGGACAAGAAACAATGGTTGGAAACTGATCAAAGGGAAAAGCAACCTGGAATTAAAGAGAAACTTCCTCAGTGAGGACAATCAACTAGTGGAACAGCTTGCCTTCAGAAATCATGGGCGCTGTCAGGTTTCGATGCTATCTCAAAATAAATCAATTTCCAAACTGCGGATCTTTAAGGAAATTTTCTCTTTATTCGAGCACAGCAACCTGATCCTGGCTCTTTCGCGGTCAGTACTGACCTTTGCCCCCCCCAATCCCTCCCTTTCCGATCCCCAATTCTCTGCTTCTCATTGGCTATCTTCCAAGTCACTTTCCTGATCTCTTCTTCGTCAGATCACAGGAATGTCTCCCCCTTCTCCCATCTCCGAGGAGACAGAATCTTCAAAGGGATTTAGTAGGCAAAAGTTCAAGCTTCTCCTCTCTTTATTATATGTCAGTGCTGGGACGCTGACAGGCGCTCCATCACTGGAGGTTTTAAAGAAGAGACTTGGTCTCTTGTCACTTGTCTCAAATTGGATAAGGTCTCCTGCTTAAACAGGGGGCTTGACTAGAAGACCTCCAAGGTCCCTTCCAGCTCCTATCCTATCCTATCCTATCCTATCCTATCCTATCCTATCCTATCCCATCCCATCCCATCCCATCCTATCCTATTTTCTCCAGAACAACACTAAGTGTAGTGTGTGTCACAGTAATGGTCTGGACACCAGTGCCATTTCTGTGATCCCTAAAAGTGGAAGCTTTAGAGAAACACTAGAACAGTAAAGGGGTGCAGTATTAAATTTTCCACTCCGCTCATCTCCTCTAAGTGATTCTGGGCGGTTTATAAAAGCATAATAAAACCATATTAAGTACAGCTAGTCTTCGACTTAGGACTGCAATAGAGCCCAAAATTTATGTTGCTTAAATGACACATTTATTAAGTGAATTTTGCCCCATTTTACAACCTTTCTTGCCACGGTTGTTAAGTGAACCACTGAAGTTGTTACATAAGTAACAAGGTTGTTAAGTGACCTGGCTTCCCCATTGACTTCATCAGAAGGTCGCAAAAGGGGATCATGTGACCCCAAGACATTGCAACCATCATAAATAGGAATCAGTTGCCAAGTGGCCGAATTTCGATCACGTGACCATGGGGAAGCTGCAACAGTTGCAGGTGTGAAAAACAGTCATAAATCACTTTTTTCAGTGACTTTGTCATTCTGAACAATCAGTAAACAAGCGGTTATAAGTTGAGAATTACCTGTATATGACTAAAACTGTATCTTAAAAGCAGAGTGGAGAAACAAGTTAAACTTACAAGTTAAAATACATCAGGTTAAAACTTCAAAAGCTAGGAGGTCATGGTTACCTATGGTAACGCCCAAGAAACCGGAATAATCTCTTTTTTAATTCCCAGCCGTGGGAGAAATTGGGTGTCATGTATCTCTTTCCTATCCAGAAAACAGGTGGAGATATAACACTGGTGAATTCTGAAAAGGGTGGTAGTTGCCACAAAACAAGCAGCTAATTCATTTATTTATTTAGCTTATGGCATATCATACATGGGCTAGCAAAATATATTAGCATTTCATCTCCATTGGTAGAGCTCTATCTATCTATCTATCTATCTATCTATCTATCTATCTATCTATCTAAAAGGATGTATGTATGTATATTTGTTCCAGCATAACTCTGGAACGGCTTGAACAATTTCAACCAAACTTGGTACACAGATGACTTACCATCTGGAATCAAATACTGTGGGGGTAAGACACCCTTAGCACCCCTAGATGTGTGTGTGTGTGTGTGTGTGTGTGTGTGTGTGTGTGCGTGTATTCCTGCATAACTCTGGAACTCCTCCAGCAATTTCAACCAAACTTGGTACACAGATGACTTACCCTCTGGAAACAAATACTGGGATGGGGGTAAGACATCCCTGGTGTGTGCGTGTGTATATGTCTGTCTGTGTGTGTGTTCAAGCATAACTCTGGAATGCCTGGGCCATTGAGGAGAGCAAGTGCGGCATCCTAGAGCGGCAATTGTTTGAGATGTCAGTTCCTTCGCAGCTTCCTCTGGAAAGCCAGCTATGATGTTCGCCCTCCAGTGGACTAATTGGAAAGAGCCTGATAGATTTGGGGCAAAGTGCCAGGGTCATAGACAGAGCGGGAAAAAGAAGTGCATGGGAGGGGGAAGGGTAAGGGCAGGGATGATGGGCATGGGAGTAGGGGGAAAAAAAGCCCCTCCCAATGACTCTCTGTCAGACAAATGCTTTGACTTCTATAAATACCCGGGCAATGCCGGGTTATCAGCTAGTGAAATATAAATGGAAGGAAGATATGACAAGGAATCATAGGGAGATGATGGAATTGATGCAGGATAAAGATGTGAGACTAGAAAACCTCCAGCAAATGATAATAAAAGATGAACAAAAAGTTCAGAAAACAGAGGAGAAAACTCTAAAAATGACACAAGTGGATAAAGATATGGAAGAGATAGTAATAATTCTTAAAACGGAACAGACAGATTATCCTCTAAGAGTTCAAAAATGAAACTATGGATGGGTACTCTAGAGATCCAACAACAAGAGATAGGGATTGCAGTAGATGAAATGCTTAGATTAAATAAATGTGATGTAAGCAGCTACAAGATCACAAGGGAGAAGCATGAAAGATTTACCAAAAGGTCAATAAGAGTTGAAATTCTAAAAAGGGCAAGAGATGATGGATAGATATAGAATATTTCTTCCTGTCCACAACCATCCCCCAGAGACCATTTAAGCTCAACCAACTGCTTCAGTGACTCTATCCAGCCACCTCACTCTCTGTCGTCCCCTTCTTCTTTTGCCCTCCCAGCATTAGGCTCTTCTCCAGGGAGTCCTTCCTTCTCATTAGGTGGCCAAAGTATTTGAGATTCATCTTCAGGATCTGGCCTTCTAAAGAGCAGTCAGGGTTGATCTCCTCTAGGACTGACCGTTTGATCGCCTTGCAGTCTAAGGGACTCACAGGAGTCTTCTCCAGCACCAGAGTTCAAAGGCCTCCATTCTTTGGTGCTCAGCCTTTCTTATGGTCCAACTTTCACAGCCATACATTGCAACTGGGAAAACCATAACCTTGACGATACGCACTTTAGTATTATGTATACTGATCTAGAGTAGAATATATTATAATCACTATGTATACACAAATGTTAGAAATTGAAAATTACGATTATGTATATCTAAACAATATTACTATTATTATTACTGTTTGTAAAATATATTGACCCAGACAATGCTTTGTCTGCCAAGCGCTTATGGATGTTAAAGAAAAAAAACTATAAATAGAACTGTAAAAAAAAAAGAAATATAAATGTTTTAAAAGATCTGTGTTCAAATACCAATCTCGAGAATATCTATCCATTTTTTTTTATTTATTTTTTTAATTTGATTTATATGCCGCCCTTCTCCGGAGACTCAGGGCGGCTTACAATGCGTTAAGCAATAGCCTTCATACTTTTGTATATTTATACAAAGTCAGCTTATTGCCCCCACAAACTGGGTCCTCATTTAACCTACCTTAGAAAGGATGGAAGGCTGAGTCGACCTTGAGCCTGGTAAGATTTGAACCTGCAGAAATTGCAGGCAGCTCTGTTAATAACAGGGTGCATTAAACCACTGTACTACCAAGGCTCATTTTCATTGAAGCGCAGTATCATTTTTATTAAAAAAAAAAAAATCAGACACTGAGCCAGTATCTGCCAGCTTACAGCCAGTTATGATGTGGTCTACGGTTTGACGTGGGACCCCGTGGTCACAATGAGGGGAGAATACTACGCCCTATTCAGAAGCAGTGAAGAAATTGGGAGAAAGATTTGCAAAAGGCTGTCCTTTTTCTGGAAGGATTTCTAACACCCCCACCAGTGGTGGGATTCAAGTAATTTAACAACCGGTTGTCTGCCCTAATGATTTCTTCCAACAACCAGTTCACCAAACTGCTCAGAAAGTTAACAACCGGTTCTCCCGAAGTGGTGCGAACTGGCTGAATCCCACCACTGATCCCCACACACACACACACCCCAAAAAAAGAAGAAAACAAAAACTTACCAAAATGTTTTCTGCAAAACATTGCTCTCTTAAAGAGAAAACAGATACTCCTCGACTTGCAACAGTTCATTTACTGACCATCCGAAGTCACAACAGTACTGAAAAAAGTGACTTATGACCACTCTTCACACTTGTGACCATTGCAGCATCTCCAGCGTCACGTGATCAAAATTCAGACTCTTGGTAATTGACTCGTATTTATGACTGTTACAGCGTCCCGGGGGTCGTGTGATCCTCTTTTGCGACCTTTTCCTGACAAGCAATATCAATGGGGAAGCCGGATTCACTTAACAACCGGGTTACTCACTTTACAACTGCAGTGATTCATTTAACAACGGTGGCAAGAAAGGTTGTAAAATGGGACAAAAATCACTTGACAAATTTCTCACTTAGCAACATAAGTTTTGGTCCGTAAATCGAGGACTACCAGTAAATGTCTATTTTTTCCTGTGAATGTTTACCCTTTAGGATATAGAAGTGGCCTCACTGCAGAAACCGTTCCAGGGAGACGTTGCCATCTTCCTCATTTAAGTTCTTCATCATGAAAATTCTTCTGAGCCTAGTTTGCATTTCTGTACTTCTTTCTCCCGGTAAGAAACATCTTGTAATTCCTCAACAGCTGGGCAAACATCTGACATATTATATGAAGGCAAGGCAGGCCTAAGCAGATCTTCTAGTTATGCCATGAAAACCCTTTCCAAGATACGCCTGCTCTAAGTTGGGACTTTCCCGAATTTCCCCAGGTAGTGTAGCTCCATACCTGGACTTGTGTAGACAACAACAGAAGAAGCATGAATTATGCCCCAGGAAATGAGAGAAGATTAGGAAAGCATCTCACCTCACAAGTCCCTGGGGAAATAAGAGGGAGGAAATGGAAAACCCAGGCAGATTTGAAAGATTCCAGGACAGGTATTCCTTGCCTTAACACCCATCATCAAGGCCAAAAATTTATGTTGTTAAACAATACAGTTGCTAGGTCCATTAGACACTACAATCGTGCCCAAAATTGTGGAAACCTTTTGGGAAAAGTGTATTTTTGAGGTTTGATGGCTAATAACACCACTCTTTTTTTTTTGGAGTTTCAAGATAATCCTATTCCACTGCTGGAATAGCCTGGGAATAGCCCAGACCTTCACCCAATTGAAAATCTATGGAGCCGACTAAAGAAACTTGTTAGTCAGAAATGACCCAGCAATAAAACCCAGTTAATAGAAGCAATCCTTCAATCTTGGTTTCACATTATAACAGCTGCAGATCTAAAATACTTGGTTCACTCCATGGGAAGACATTGTAAGGCCAGAATTCATACTAAAGGTTACCCAACTAAGTATTAACTTACATTCTAAGTTTTGTATATCTCGATTTTTCTATAGTGAACATTTTTGTATATCTCATTTTTTTCTGCGTGTTTCACTTTTCTTCTTTGTACTGTAGCTGCTATTCTAATAGCAAATCCTTCATAAAAGTTATTGCATTACATTCTTGATTAAATTATCTTTCCAGTGATATATAATTTTATGGTACTACTCCCCCCCCCCAAAAAAAGTGGTGTTATTAGCTAGTTTTAGAAAATACACTTTTCCCAAAAGGTTTCCACAATTTTGGCCACTATTGTGTGCTCACAAGTTGGTAGTAGTGAACATAGTGACTAGTGGACCTAATAAAAGATGCTTTGGGGAAGGAAAGGTAGGATTGTCCCTCTAATTGGAACAAAACCAGTTATGGGAAGACTTCTGCAGTCTTACTCAAGGCAGCATCCCACCCAAAAAGGGAGCAGGTAGCAAATGAAAGAGGAGAGCCAAGCCACCCTCAGTCCCAGCACAATGTCCGTCTCCAACTCCATCTTTTGTTAGAGATGACCAGGAAGGGCAGACCAGATGGTTTGCAGATAGCCAGAACTTGACCAGACTTGCAATCCCCCCCAAAAGGTCAGAAGGTCGAAGATCTCACTAAAGCCAATCCTTGTTTATTAGCTTTTTTCGAGACCCAAGAAATCACAAGGAGCAAGAAGCTTCCTGATATATCAACGTCAGTTGAAGGGGTGCCAAAACGTCATACCCAGGAACCCAAGGATGCAGAACCAACAATACTTCCATCTGTTGGTGAGTACTGATCAGGGGTGAAATCCAGCAGGTTCTGACAGGTTCCGGAGAACCGGTAGCGGAAATTTTGAGCAGTTCGGAGAACCGGTAGTGGAAATTTTGAGTAGTTCTGAGAGCTGGCAAATACCACCTCTGGCTGGCTCTAGGATGGAGAGGGAATGGAGATTTTGCAGTATCCTTCCCCTACCACGGCCACAGAACTGGTAATAAAAAAATTTGGATTTCACCACTGGTACTGACTCACCTGGCTAGGTGGCTCAGTGGCTAAGACGCTGAGCTTGTCGATCAGAAAAGTCAGCAGTTTGGCGGTTCGAATCCCTAGTATAGATCTCCTGTGTGACCCGCAACTTCTGCTACCGGTTCAGGTGAACGGGTCTGAACCAGCTGAATACCACCTCTGGTACACAGACATGGAGAAACCCACCAAATCAAAAGACTAGCACATTGTATGAATGTGTTCTGACCTAGGCTTCCTGAGTCAGTAAAACACATGAGTAGTCCCCAAAACCTGCTTTATTTTAACAGCTGTGAATTCTGTTCATTCACAGATGAGTCCCCAATAGTTGTAAAGAGTCCTTCGGGATAAGGCTGATAATCACCCACCTTTATCTCCCTTGACACGCTGCCAAAGACCTAATTGACAAAGCCACATGGAGTCCAGAATCAAACAGAGCTTCAGACTTTAAACTGAACAGAATTAACAACGTTGCTTCATACAAAGGCCCACGTGCCTTTGCTCCTCTTTTAAGTCTTATAGGAGGGGCCAATCATCTCTAAACCCTACTCCTGAGTTGTCCCTTTTGTTTTAACTGTTTTTGCCTTCTGGCAGCTCTGCGCATGTGCGCATTGGGCACAGGCTGCCCCTGTTCCTCTGTCTCACTGAGGTCTGACTCTGGAGGCTCCAGAGGCAGCACGTACCTCCCAGATGGCCCTTTCTCTGCCGAGCCCTCGTCCGAGCCTTCCCCAGACTCCAGGACTGGCCCATGTTCCTCCCCAGCCTCCTCACTGTCCGACTCTGCTGCCAGCTCTGCAGGTTGCTGGCGGACCACAACGGAAAGCAGTGACGAGGCCCTTAAGTGACCCCATGGATACATGGCTGAAATATCTGTCCTGCAAGTTGATGGGCCATTTTACTTTTTCAGGTGCCTCCCTGGAGTGTGAAATGTGTTTTGGCACGGGAAGTAGTTGTCTAAGTGGCAAAGAGAAGTGTGAATTGGATGAGGACATCTGTCTCATCGACCTGACAGAAACCTCCAAAGGTGAGTGAAAGGTGCAGCAGTAGACAAGCAGATCTCTTGGCCCATCTTCTCTCCCTACAATTGTTTATTTTTGTCCTTGGAAATACAGGAAGCTCTCGACTTATGACCAGCGTGTCTGTTGCTAAGCAATACGGTTGTTAAGTGAATCGCTCCTGATTTGCCAACCTTTTTGCCATGATTGGCAATACCTGCAGTTATTAAATGAATCAGACGGTCATCCCACCCTCTGGAATCAGCTGCCCCCAGATATAAGGAGAATCCAAGACCTCCGTGCCTTCCGCCGTTCCCTTAAAACTTTCCTTTTTCAACAAGCCGGGCTGGCCTAACAAATCCTTTTAAATGATTTTAAATGATTTTAAATTCGTTTGTCTTTTTAAATTTTGGGCCAAATTGAGATATTTCCTTTTAATCTGTTCTTAATTTATGTATTATGTATTATGTATTTACGTGTTTTTACTTGGCTGTACACCGCCCTGAGTCCTATGGAGAAGGGCGGTATATAAATCTAAAGTAAAATAAAATAAATAAAATAAATTAAGTGAATCCAATATGAAATCTTCTCTCTTGGCAGGAGGAAAAAACATGTCGCTTATAGAAAAGGGCTGCTATTTCTCTGAGAACTGTACCTCTGCATCTGTTTTGGTGACTTTTGGACAAGGAGAATTCCTCCAGAAAAGCACCCTCTGTTGTTCAGGAGAAGACTGCAGAGAAGATTCTCTTCTACGTAGGTCTTTTCTTCTTTTCCTCTGCCAACGTCAGAAATGATTGGCGGTCCTAACCTTCATTGATATCGTCTCCAAAGAATTGGGAAGTTGCCATGCCCTCCAAGAACTTCAAGAACCAGAATTCTCCACTAGAGGCCCTGTTGAGTATTGTAATTCAGAATGATCGAGAGCATAGGTGTCCAACCTTGGCAACTTTTAAGACCTATGGACTTCAACTCCCAGAATTCCCCAGCATGCCTATCTGTGAAATTGAAATCCACCAGTCTTAAACTTGCTAAAGTTGGACATCCTTGATCTGGAGGACTACAGTTTCCTATCTTTGATACAATCCTTGAATTGCAAATTAGATGTTTCCGTTTTGTTTCCCCTTTGCAAGATGGGTAAACAACTTTATCAAAGGGGTTGTAGGATTTTTTTGAAGACTGCATCAATAGTGTTGGGAAGGAATAGAATAGAATAGAATAGAATAGAATAGAATAGAATAGAATAGAATAGAATAGAATAGAATAGAATAGAATAGAATAGAATAGAAAATAGAATAGAAATGTTATTCTGGAATAGAATAGAATAGAATAGAATAGAATAGAATAGAATAGAATAGAATAGAATAGAATAGAATAGAATAGAATAGAATAGAATAGAACCTATACCCATGATGGTGAACCTATGGCACACATGACACATGTGGCACGCTTAGCCATATCAGTGGGCATGTGAGCTCAGCTCTGGTGCGCATTGTGCACTGGCTAGCTGATTTTTGGCCCTTCTGGGCCCACCAGAAATAGGGAAACAAGTTGTTTCCTGCCTCCGGAGACCCTCGGGGGGTGGCCCGTTTCTCTCTCTCACCTGGCTCCAGAGCCTTTCTAGGAGTCTGGGGAGGGTGAAAACGGTCTCTCCACCCCCACCCCCCGAGGCCCTCCAGAGGCCAGAAACAGCCCTTTGGCCAACTTCCGGTGGGACCACATATAATTATGGGTGTGGGCACGTGCGCGACCCCCTACACCCTGCTCCTGGCATGTGATAGCAAAAAGCTTAGCCATCACTGACCTATACCATCTCAGACAAGTGGCTGTCCAGTCTCTTCTTATAAATCTCCAGTGATGGAGCACCCAGGACTTCTGAAGGCAAGGTGGGAATGTTTATTTATTTATTTGATTTAAAAAAAAAATACTTACAAGTAAGTCAAAGCAGTGAACATATCCAGTATCCTATTTCACTCACCACAAGAACCCTGTGGAGATACTGCATCAGTCGTCACCATGAAGACTGGTTGTAAGTCAGTGCCCTTGTAGCTTGGAATGGTCTCTAAACAAATAGTTGTAAGTCAAGGACTGTCTGTATAAAAGAATGCAGGAGTAGGTTTGAGAGCAACTATGGATGACAAATGCCTAGAGAGGCCTAGAAAACTAATGGAACCAGGGACCACAAGAGGGTTGTTCGTTTTTGAACTCAAATGTTCTGATTTAACTAATTGGGCTCATATATATTTCTTTTCAGGGCCACCAATAAATATGACAGCCAATGGGAAATACTGCCCAGCCTGCTATTCTGAATCTGAGCCGTGTCCTGTGAAGACGGTCAACTGCACTGGATCTGAAAATTACTGCCTGGATTTGCTCGGGCCTAAATATTCTGGTAATTCTGAGATTATATTATGAACACGTTCACACATCACCTTAAAACATATTGACTGCGTTGGTCGCCACACTATAAAAAAGATGTTGAGTGCAGAGAAGAGCAACCAAGATGATTAGGGGACTGGAGGCTAAAATATACGATGAACGGTTGCAGGATCTGGGCATGGCTAGTCTAGTGAAGAGAAGGACCAGAGGAGACATGATAGCAGTCTTCCAATATTTGAGGGGCTGCCACAGAGAGGAGGGGGTCAAGCTGTTTTCCAAAGCACCTGAAGGCCAGACAAGGAGTAATGGATGGAAACTGAACAAGGAGAGATTCAACCTGGAAATGAGGAGAAATTTTCTGACAGTGAGAACAATCAACCAGTGGAACAGAAGTTGCATTCGGAAGTTGTGGGAGCTTCATCACTAGAGGCTTTCAAGAAGAGCCTGGACTGCCATCTGTCAGAAACGGTGTAGGGTCTCCTGCTTGCGTGGGTTGTGTCAACCTATTTTCCAAAGCACCTGAAGGCAGGACAAAAAGAATGGGAGCTTATTGAAGAGAGATCTAGCCTAAAATTAAATAGAATTTTCCTGTCAGTGAGAACAATCAGTGGTACAAGGTGGGTGTACCAGAAGTTGTGGGTGGTCCATCACTAGAGGTTTTCAAGAAAAGACCGGACAACCATTTGCCCAGAATCATGTAGGGTCTCTTTCTTAAAAGCAGACGGTTGGACTAGAAGACCTCCAAGGTTCCAACTCTGTTATTCTGTTATCTAACCATCATGTTACACTATGACAGGACTGTCAAACTCACAGCCCATGGGCCGGATGCGTCACACGCTGGCCACACGCCCACACCCAGTTTAGCAAGGGTGAAAAAAGTCACAATACATCATGTGATGCTGCCCAGGGGTGAAATCAGTGGTGGGTTTCAAATTTTTTTACTACTGGTTCTGTCGGTGTGGCTTGGTGGGCATGGCGTGGCTTGTTGGGCGTGGCTTGGTGGGCATGGCAGGGGAAGGCTACTGTAAAATCTCCATTCCCTCCCCAATCCAAGGGAAGGTTACTGCAAAATCCCCATTTCCTCCCAATCGGCTGGGACTTGGGAGGCCGAGAATAGATGTGGGTGGGACCAGTCAGAATTTTTACTACCGGTTCTCTGAACTACTCAAAATTTCCACTACCGGTTCTCCAGAACTGGTCAGAACCTGCTGAAACCCACCTCTGGGTGAAATGTACTTACCTTTCCTACCAGTTTGCTGATGTGCACACACCGTCATCTGCGCATTGCACAAAGCCTTCTGCTTCCATTTTGGGGGGACGGAGCCTCCCCTCGCCCGCGCTATTAGTTCTCCGAACTACCTGCGGCCGGCGCTACCAGCTCCTGCGAGCTGAATAGTGCCGGCCATATTTCACCCCTGGGCACTGCCATGATGACGCGAGTTTGACACCCCTGCACTATGATATGGTTTATAATCACATATTTAGTGAATATAATACTGGCACTTTGTTAAACAAGTTGAAAGATTAGCGTGTTGTGTTAGGCAGCCACTACGTGGATGAGTGGACTTCTTAGGTCATCATCACCAGGCTCTGTGTGACTTTCCTTCTTGTTTGTCATATTTAGAAAAACGCATCACTCTGAAAGGTTGCACAACGGAGTCCATCTGCAATGCTTTACACTCTGGAAAAGTGAACTTGTTTGATATGGATACTGTCAATTGCCGGCCAGCCAACCAGGTGTCCCAGCTGACAGGATGTCTCCACCTCACGCTCGCTGCACACCTGCTGATGAAAGTCCTCTTGTGATGCCCCTCTTGCGAGAAGCAGCCGTTAAAGGTTCCTTGTTTCTCCTTCTCAGAAAGAAGAACATAGAACATGGAAGTGGTATTTCACCAAGAAATATCACATACCACCAAAACATGCCACCGTTTGAGTCCACTCGCTCAGTTTTCTCACTAACTGACCATCACAAGGTCTCCAGAGGAAATGTTGGGACTTGAATTTGGACCCTCTTTTTAACCAATGAGGAACAGCTTGTCAAGCCATGAATACGCAGAAACAACATTTCTCCTGGAAAATGCCTGTACTTAATAGACGTGTGCAAGGTAGAGTGGCCATCCAAGGTGATCAAACCAACCATCCAGGGTGATCGTCCTTGATTTAGGATTTCGTCTCGGAGGATGGGACTTCTGGAGGCCTGCCACCCATGCACAGAAGCTGCTGCTTTTCACAAATAAAGTTTGGCCATACCACTCTGGTACTATACTTAAGAAGGTGGAGAGCTCTGTGTCTCCCCTGCAAAACAATCTTCTGAAGATTTGCACAATGTAATGCTTAAAACCTGGGATCTGCTACCAGGTTAGTGCAGGGGTCGGCAACCTTAAACACTCAAAGAGTCACAAAGGTCCTAACCGAAAGCCCCCGTTCAATTCTGGAGCCAACTGGAAGCCTGGTTCCCCTATCATAGTCTCCTCCTAGTGCGGCGTCCTTTTTCCTCTACCTATCCCAGCTGAAAGCCCTATCAATTGTGGAGCTGACCAGCAACAGGGAGCCGCAGCAGAGGGATGAAAGAGCCACATGCGGCTCCAGAGCCCCAGGTTGCTGACCCCTGGATTAGTGTAAAGAGTAATGGTGGTTTTCCCATGGCAAATCTAATCAGGACAGCTGGTTAGGCTTGGTTAGTTTTTAACTCTGGTTTCTGGATGTATATGAAGTATATGTATATGAAGTTTGATGCAATCATGGCACAAAAATATGGCAAATATGGTGCCAATTGTATGGGTTTACAGTAATCACGTTAGCATGTTCTGCCAATGAGTGAGCAGTGTTAAACCTCTGCTTCAAATGGACCAAAATGCTTGACTCGGTTTACGGTAAAATTCCCTGTTTTCCTCCCTTTCCTGCTGGATATTTGGGGGAGAAATGTTACAGAGCCATTTGAACTTACTCAAAGCCGTTTGAATCTCTGAGAGACACCTCCAGACCTCCAAATAAAATATGGTTTTAAACTCGATGAGCTCTTGTAAGAGTCTGATGGTCTTATTGGGGATCTCATTGGGGAATTGGGATGAGAGGACATTACGCAAGATGGTGCCCAAGGTATCTTGCCAAGCCAGGAGTGAGGCTAACTGTGCTGTAATAAAGGAAAATCCATTTCAGCCCTTTAAGATCAGTTGGTTTTATGCCTTAAAATATTGAAACCCTACCACAGGGGTATCAAAGTCACGGCCCATGGGGTGCTTCGATCTGGCCCGCAGGACCGCCCTGGCAGGAGTGGGTTCTAATTTTTTTTACTACCGGTTCTGTGGGCGTGGTTTATTTTGTGGGCGTGGCTTGTAGGGGTAATGTGACTGGGTGGGCGTGGCCAACATTTATTTATTTATTTTTTTAACTTTTAAAGCATTTTTTCTACAACCTTAAGAGGTTGCAGAAAAAGATGCTTTTAGAAGCTTCTGACGATCAGGCAAGTCAGCTGGGATCGCCAGAGGCTTTTAAAGGCATTTTTTCCCCCTAATCCTCCTATGGTTACCTATGCCTACTCTGGTCTTCCAAGATCTTCCCACTTCAGTCCATTATTTCAATGTCTTATTGGACATTATTTTCAGACAGTGAACGATTAATCAGTGGAACGACTTGCCTCCAAAAGTTGTAGGTGCTCCAACACTGGACATTTTTAAGAAGAAGCTGTATAGCTATTTGTGTGGGGTCTCCTGCGTGAGTAGGGGGTTGGACTAAAAGATCTCCAAGGTCCCTTCCAGAAATTCCAGGGATTTCTGCTACTGGTTTTCCGAATCACCCACCGCCATCAGTACCGGATCGGGCGATCCAATCCGAACCGGGAGCATTTCACCCCTGATGCAAATGTGAGCAGATAAATAGGTACCACTTCAGTGGGAAGCAACAGCACTCTGTGACATCATTCTGGCCAAATGACGCAGAAATGTCTTCGGGCAGCTCTGGCTCAATGGCCTTGAAACAGAGGTGAGCACCGCAGAGTAAAATCCACAGGGACTCCTTTACTTTTTCCTTTATGGGACTGGACATGGATTTTTTTCCTATTTTTGCAGAGATCATTAAGCCATTCTCCCAAGCGAGCTTGTTTTCCGGCAAACAATCTAGGAAAACAGTGCCCACAACCCCGTAGGAATCAGCAAAACCTGTCGAAAATAATGGTGACAGAATGCTGCAACCAGTTGTAAATGTGAGCTGGTCTCCTAGCACCTGAAATGCAATCATGTGACTGCAGAGGGCGGAGCATGATATTTTACTCTTTTTTTTTTAGGGAATGTTTTTATTTTTCTGTCCAAGTACAGAGTCAGGAGCTACCTGAAAAGAACAAAACAAAAAGTGTAAGAACTATTATACACGTGTGAAATTGGGAACACAGATTATGTTCAGATAGTTGCTATAGACTAGTTGTCTTATGCTGAGTTTTCTTTCTTTTTTTTAAAACAACTTTTATTGGTTTTTTCTGCTCTCCCACATTCACCCACATCTTTTTTTTTTTTGAACAGAGTGTTGACCGTTTCTTATCTTATACAATTAATCAAATTCAAATACATTTTACTCGATTCCAATTTTTACCAAAATCGTTTTCCCCCTTTTCTTTAATTTTTAAACATATCTCAATATTTCTATACTTGCATACAGAAACACATATATAAAATTTATCCCTAGATTCTAACTTTACTATTTATTCATATTTATTCTCTTTTATTCTTAAACAGTTCATTCTTTATATATATTATATATTTATATTTGTTTGTTCGGAGTTGCCTTTCTTCTACTTCATCTTTTTTATTACCCAGCAATCTTTCTCCTCCTCTTTTGCCTATAAGAGGATAGACTTTGATGATTAAAAAAGAAGGACCGTAATGCGACTTAAAACTGGAATAATATCAACCTGGAAAGAATAAAATGGAACAGGAACTTAACGAACTGATAAAGACGATGTGTTAGGAAATAAAGGGAATGATTATTTAATTGTTGGGTTTTTAATTGAATTATTTTTCTATTTCATTTTATTGTTGTCGTTTTATTGTTGTGAGCCGCCCCGAGTCCTTCGGGAGAGGGGCGGCATATAAATGTGAATAAATAAATAAATGAATAAATAAATTATAAATTTGCATGAAAAATCGAAATTTGAGGATGTAAAGACTGAGCTAGAATGCACTGAAGATGAAAAGGGGCATGGCATTTTACAATGGACTGTTTTATAGATCATAAAGCATCCTTTCTGAGGCCATTATCACTTCAAATCCAACTGGGTTTTCGATTTTCTCCGTCTTATTTCCCCAGGAACTTGTGAGGTGAGACACTCTTCTAATCTTCTCCCATTTCCTGGGGCAAAATTCATGCTTCTTCTGTTGTTGTCTACACAAGTTCAGGTACGGAGCTATGCTACCTGGGGAAATTCTGGAAGTTCCAAGTTAGAACTTGGAAAGGGTTTTCATGGCGTAACTAGAAGATCTGCTTAGACCTGCCTTGCCTTCATAATATGTCAGATGTTTGCCCAGCTGTTGAGGAATTATGAGATGTTTCTTACTGGAAGAAACAAGTACAGAAATGCAAAATAGGTTCAGAAGAACTTTCATAATGAAGAACTTGAGTGATGAAGATGGCAGTGTCTCCCTGGAATGACTTCTGCAGTGGGGCCACTTCTATGTCCTAAAGGGTAAACATTGACAGGAAAAATAGACATTTACAGGTAGCTCTCGACTTATGACCACAATTGAGCCCAAAATTTATGTTGCTAAGTGAGAAATTTGTTAAGTGATTTTTGCCCCATTTTACGACCTTTCTTGCCACAGTTTATTTATTTTATTTATTTATTTATTTATTTATTTATTTATTTATTTATTTATTTATTTATTAGTTCGATTTATATGCCGCCCTTCTCCGGAGACTCAGGGCGGCTTACAATGCGTTAAGCAATAGCCTTCATACTTTTGTATATACCTGCTTAGTAGGGCTTTCGGCCCCCCCTAAGCGGTGTTCTTTTATAGAATAGAATAGAATAGAATAGAATAGAATAGAATAGAATAGAATTCTTACTGGCCAAGTGTGATTGGACACACAAGGAATTGGTGCATACGCTTTCAGTGTACATAAAAAGACAAGATACATTCGTCAAGAATCATAAGGTACAACACTTAATGATAGTCATAGGGTACAAGTAAGCAATCAAATCATACTAGGAAACAATATCAAGAGCCGAGGTGGCGCAGTGGTTAGAACGTAGTACTGCAGCTACTTCAGCTGACTGCTAGTTCAGCAGATCAGCGGATCAAATCTCACCGGGTCAAAGTTGATTCAGCCTTCCAACCTTCCGAGGTGGGTAAAATGAGGACCCAGATTGTTGGGGCAATATGCTATTTAGTATATTGTCTTTGGTTTAAGCCCAGAGTCCTCGGAGAGTGGGCGGCATAGAAATATGACTAATAAATAAATAAATATAAATCATAAGGATAAAAGTTACAGTCATGCAGTCATAAGTGGGAGGAGATGGGTGATAAATCAAGGACTACCTGTGTCTGCATAATTCCCCCCTCCCCTTCTGTCTGCATTTTCTGCCTATCGTATAAAATCTAGTAGGCAGGACATCTTACAAGTCCCATCTCTGAAGAAGCACTACCCACAGGGACCATGAGGCTGTGCCATTTGTATTTGTGTCACCACAAAGATGCATCTTCTTCAGAGAATTGTTTTCTGGTGCAATAGATGTACAGAGAAGATGCAACAGGAAGGAGAAGCAAGGTACCCCTCCCAATTTACACAACAGGAAAGGGTTTTGGAGAAGCGAACCTATACTACTCAAGAAAATCATTATTATTTTTTTTTTGTGGGCTAGGTATAATATTTTGCTTTGGGCATTATTATGAGAAAGATATTCTATGATTTGCTTAGAGTAGAATCACTTAGCAGGTGATGGTGTGTGTATGTGTGTGTGTGTAGACATTTAATAAATACAATTTTGTATGTCTGCCTTTGCAGATATTGAATATTGAATTGGTTTCTGGATGCGTGATATGGAGCTCGATGTAATGTATGAAGCCGGGCTGGTTTCAAAAATATTGCTCTATTTATCGGGCTATTTTCTGATATTTTGCCTTAGTTATGTGCCCCTCTTTCCACTTTTTATACTTTTCCTTTGAGAGCTGTTATTTTTCTTCTTCATTGGTATTGTGCTAGATTGGGCTTTTATAATTTCATCTTTCAAAATTTCCCAAGCATCTTGACTTGTTTTCCCCTTGAGGATTCTTATCCATAGAATCCTTCCCAAGCTCTCTCTAAATTTATTGAAATTAGCTCTCTTAAAGTCCAAGACTTATAGTTTGACTTTGTTCTGTTGCTTGTGCTTCCATAATGTTGAATTCCAATATTGCATGATCACTCCCCCACCCCAAGGTTCCTGTAGCTTCAACACCTTCTATCATTTCATCTCTGTTAGTGAGAATGAAGTCCAATATGGCTGATCCCCTAGTTCCCATCTCTACCTTTTGGGAGACAAAGTTATCTGCTAGATTTGTCAGGAACCTGTTTGATCTTCCACTTGTTGTGGAGTTTGTCTCCCAGTTGATGTCAGGGTAGTTGCTCCATTACTATTGTGATGTCCTTCCAGGGGTTGCCACAAAGAAGAGGGAGTCAACCTATTCTCCAAAGCACCTGAGGGTAGAAAAAGAAGCAATGGGTGGAAACTAATCAAGGAGAGAAGCAATTTAGAACTAAGGAGAAATTTCCTGACAGTTAGAACAATTAATCTGTCAGGGTAAATGTCTAATCCTCCCAGGCAGAGGCTGGCACCTCCCCATATCCCATCATACCCCCTTACCTCAGACTCCTCCCCTGGTGTATAAAAGAGTCCTACACGTGGGCATCCAGCAGTTCCAGATGTGTACCTGCAAAGGCAAGACAGAGGTCAGCGACCTTTACCCTGAATGGGCCTAGGAGGACTCCAGGCCTAGAATAAAGAGTCAATGAAGAGATTCCATTGTCTCCTGTGAGTTATTGGAT